ATGGAAGGTGCCAAGCCATGTTGTACTCCTCTTGGCACTACTAAATTGGATCACAGTGGCATTCCTCTCTCAAATCCCACTAAATATAGATCCCTGGTCGGTGCCTTACAGTATTTGACTTGGACTAGGCCTGATATCTCTTTTGCTGTCAATCAAGTATGCCAATTCATGCATACTCCCACTGATCTTCATCTGCAAGCTGCTAAAAAGATTCTCTGATTCCTCAAAGGCACCTCTGATCATGGTTTATGGTTTCAGAAAAGTTCTCTTCATCTTTCTGCATTTTCTGATGCCGATTGGGCTGGTTGTTTATTTGATCGACGTTCAACCAGTGGCTTTTGCGTCTATCTTGGCTCAAACTTGATTAGTTGGAGTGCTAAGAAGCAGCCTACAGTGGCTAGATCCTCCACTGAAGCTGAATATCGATCTCTGGCCCATACTGCCGCTGAAATTACATGGATCTGCAAGGTGTTTCATGATTTTGGTTTTCCCTTATCTTCCAAACCTACAATCTGGTGTGATAACATATCTGTTATCTCTCTTGCCTCCAACCCTGTCTTTCATGCTCGAACAAAGCATGTTGAGATAGATTATCATTACATTCGAGAGTTGGTTCTTGCTAATCTGCTTCAAGTTCAGTATGTGTGTACTGAGGATCAAATTGCCGATATTCACACTAAATCTTTGACCAAGAACCGGTTTCTTCTTCTTCAATCCAAGCTATCTCTTGGAACTCCAACTTCTTCCAAGCTCAGCTTGAGGGGGTGTAAAGATGAGGATGCCAAATCATGACATACATTCTGTTTTTAATTAACTAATTGTAATGTGCTATGTGTACAAGTTAGTTAGAAAGGTTATTAGTTGTGGTTGTTGTTATGACTATAAATACCATACTCATGTAATTATTTTTGTAAGTAATGAAATTGTAATATTTCAGAAAGATATTTTCTTCTCAGTTTCTTTAGATTCTTCCTAAGCTTAGTCATTTTATTTGGAAGGGCTGTAAAAATATACTTGCTGTAAGATCTAATTTACAACGACGGGGTATCCGGTTGGAGATCGTTTGCCCACATTGTGGGGATGATATGGAGACATAGGTACATTTATTTTTTAAATGTCCGTTTGCTCGTGTGTTTTGGTTTGGATCTCCTTTGCAACTGGATGTGGTATCGGTGGAGAGGGAAGATTTTTTGGCATGTTGGAATTGGCTGTTGAAAAAATATGGTGTTGCGGAGGAGGGGGATAGGCTTATGAGGTGGGTAGTTTGTGGTTTATGGAGGATATGGAAATTCCGGAATACTATGGTCTTTGAGCAGACCTTGGTCGAGCCAAATGTGGCTTTGGAATTATTGCAGAAACATTGGGGGGAGATTGCACGATGTGAACAGTCTCAGGTGCGGCCTGCACGTAGTAGCCGACTAGGGGAATGAGAGGAAGTTCCTGTGAAGTGGGTAAAGCCTCCTTTTAGAACAATTAAACTCAATTGCGATGGAGCTTGGCATAAGGAGACACGAAGGGGTGGATTTGGTTGGGTGGCTCGAGATTTTGCGGGGATCTTTAAGGGAGCAAGAGGAATGGGGAATGTTTGCTGTGACTTGAGTCTGATGGCGGAAGCGGAGGCGGTGCGAGCAACTTTGGTGGTATGTGTGGAGAAGGGCTTTGGGTGTGTTCAAATTGAAACCGATTCTAAGGTCTTGGTGGACATGCTCACAGGTGTTATTCAATCGGAGGCTGCTATGGAAGGTGTTTTATGGGATATTTCCCATCTCAAGCAACAATTAAATTTAGTTGAGTTTCTTTTCACCCCTCGCTCTTGTAATGGTGTTGCACACTTGGTGGCAACTCATGCTACACGTGTGGGGGGATGTCATATGTGGGATTTTTTTGAACCAGAGTGGTTATTTAATACTCTGGCAAATGATGTAAACATTTCAATTCGTATCTAATAAAATTCTACTCTTTGGAAAAAAAAAAAAAAACTGCTTTTTTTTTTAATTCTTTATTGTTATTAAAGAGAGAGGAAGAGTTCGAAACTATTACAATAATTTATGAGAGAGGGAGTTCGAGACCCCACATGCATAAATAGAAGTCCAACATCTTATTCACTAAGATATTTGACCGCAAACATTTAATAGTTTATTAATAGGGGCGAATCCTTCCATTTGCCTCTAGTTGAGAGGACCTAATAGTCACTTCTTCTATAGTGACAGTTTGGAGCCATTCCATGCATCGCATAAATCATAAATGTCTTTTTGCACCGTCTATTTTGTCGTTCAGGGCATTAGACAAGTCAATTTTGTAGAGGTGTTTGGTCCATTCCAGCGAAGGCGCCTTTGTTTGAACTGCATTATAGTATGTTGTTTTCTTGTCTGAAACACCAATATTGGAACTAACTTCCAACGATTGGTGTGGGATTCACATTACTCCGGTGACAATACTTTTCATGTGACATCGAATATATATTTATCTAAGATCACTTACCATCATTAGAATTTTTATTTTACGATGGAGCTAATCCAACGCTTGACCTAGCTTATGATTGGAAAAAAAAAAATTCATTGATTCAACTACATACATCTATATATACATACACACACTATGGTGAGCACTATGTTGAAAATTATAAGATTTTCATATCGGAAAATTGACAAAATGAAATATGATTTATTGAGTGAATTTACTGTCGTTTTGTGTAAATATTGGTATGATTAGTAGTGGGTTAAGCGCATTTGAAATCTTGACACTACAGCTAAATAAACGGTACATATTCAAGAGAAATGTGTGTGTGACAAATACCAAATATATATACTACATATTCGGTGTAAATAATTTTAATTTTGTGGTTATCCACAAAAAATATTACTTAATTTGAAAGCCAATATGTACTTTTATTAATTGAGTTCATTTCCTATATGAATGATATGAAGCCAATATGTAACATGTCTATAACAGGTAGCCCAAGATATGATCATATAGTAGCAAGTAGCAGAAGTCCTTTTGAGAATGCTTCTAAAAAAGAGCTATAATGTTTTCGGCCAATTAAAAGCGTATCTAACAACGTTTGACTGAAAACTTTAAAGGCTTCTAAACGTATTGGAGTAGCACCAACTGGATGTTTCTACAAGAAGCAGTGTCGGTTGCTTTTCTGGAAGGCACTTGGTTTTTTTATTTAAAATGTACAACCTTTTTCTATTGGCATCTAAGAAAAACACTTATGAGGAAGTCCCAACCAAAATCTAAGTTTCCCATGATTTTCCTATATTTGAATTTCTCCAAATAACAAATGTTGGGATTATACGACAAGAAGGATGCGGCAGAGAGCTGAAGAAAAAAAGCATCTGTATTTCTCTCTGTGAGCTTCAAAACCCAGATCCAGAATAAACCCTACCCTAGTTTCAAAGTTTCAACCGCCGCCCTTTGCTTTTGCTTAGGATATGCGATAACCCGCTACTCCCTCCTTTATCTCCTCTTTCCTTCCCTTCTCCTTTGCCGTTTCCCTATTTTCCTACCGTCTCATCTCCTCTGCCCCTTCCCCCTCACAGCATCCCACCTCATCTTCCTTCCCCCTTTCCAGTTTTCTTCCTTCCTTTTCTATTTCGGTCCTCCCTTAAGATATCTCATTTTTCTTTCAGTTTGGTCTCAATTATCCCCTGAGCTTGTCTCAGATTTGGACTTCATGCCTCTTATCTAGTGTTTTTTTTTACTACGTTTACTGTTTTCTGCCATTTACTTTTCCTTCCTCCCTCTTCCTTAGCCATGATATTTCATCACCACCTCATCATGTGCTCCAATCGGCAAGCTCAGATAAAAAATTGGATATTAGATCCACTTCCCTACCTCACTTCCCTTCCCCAACCGGTATGTCGGATCCTCACCGAAGCCAAAGTGTTTTGTGGCCTCCACCACAATAAGGGTATTTTACGTACCCCCTTAGTCTCATTTTTAACTATTAGATATTTTCTTTGTATATATTTGCAGGGGTTCGTGATGGGACTTAAGATCTGGTGTCTACTTTCTCGGTTCAGAGTTTGGCTTCCTCCAAATACGTGATGGCGGCATTAGTCTGGTTTAATTATGCTGTTTGAGATTAGAGTTTTTTGTTGTCTGTTGTTGTTTACATGACTATTTTTGGGCCTTTTACTTTATCTGTTGTTGTTTACTTGACTTTTTTTGGACCTTGTACTAGTTTTTAATGGAAGTAATCTTGTTTGACAAAAAAAAATTAAAAAATAAAAAAAATCAAATGTTGAGTTTTAGTTAAAGAAGAAAGTGTGAAAAATTGTTTGACTTACGAGTTATGACACATTATAATTTGATGGGATCATTACAAGGGACATAGGAGAACTTAACCATTTTTTTTTACAAACGATATTATTCACACTAAAGGAGAGGGGGAATGGGCTAAGCCGTTAAGCCTCATAATGGGCTAGCAATAATGTGGTTCAAATTCACCTTTGACGAGAATTGAATCTAAGACATCTCATTTATAAGTGAAGAGAAATATCACTAAACCGTAGTATTAATTGGCAACTTAACTATTTTTTTAGCTCATTCAATTTTTTACCATTTTCTTTTTAAAATTTAAAAATATAGTCACTCGAGACTCCCTTGAATAATGGTAAAATACCTTTAGAATATGTTTGAATCCCCTTGAATGGTTAAAAATTCCCTTTAAAAAAAATTATTATTAGGGTTCAAAACCAGTGCAATAATTGAGGAGAGGAAGGAGTTTCACCTAGGATGCACTCCTAGAAATCTAACACCCTATCCACTAGGATATTGGACCATATATTATCAAACGGTTAAAATTCCTTTTAAGTAAAAAAAATTGGCTAAAAGTCTTCAGCTAATCCGTAGTTTGGTTTAATTAACCAAAGAAATATTATTTCCTCGTATACAATTTGCCTCTCCCCAAATTAGAAACAAGAAAAAAAAAGTTAGAAATGAAAAAAATCCTTGCGAAATTCAAGCATATAACAGACAGAATGTGTTGCATTGACTTGTTCGAAAGGTCCAAGACCAAATAACACTGATAAAAAGCTGACTTCTACATGACTAGATATACAACATGTAGTAATCAGTTCAAGTACTGGGTGTGCAATATGTCAGCTTTAAGCTACACACAACAGACAAGCTGAGACTTGAAAACAAAGAAATACAACGCTGCATGCAATATTGTACTGTTGTGCAAATAAATAGTAGTAGGTTGTTTGAGTCGAGAGGTTAAGATACTATAGGACCCAGAACCCGATTACCACTCATTGGACAATTGAGATCTTTCACATCACAGAAGAAAAACACAGAAAACACATAGCAGAAACCAAGACACCCAACAAGAGAGAGAGAGAGAGAGAGAGAGAGAGAGAGAGAGAGAGAGAGAGAGAGAGAGAGATGCAGTAGTAGGAGATAGTAGTAGTAGGGTTTTTAGTAATTGTCTGTGAGGCTAGAGGAAGAGGGAGCATTGTAGGAGGGCGTGGATTCTTCTTTGAGATTAGCGGCAGTGGTAGGGAAGAGTTGAAGGGTCTTGAGGGGTGGTCTAGAAGTAGTAGCAGTACTTCTTGTACTAGTGCAACATGGGGATGGTGGGCCTACATTCATCATCCAATCACGGCCGTGCATACTCATCACGGACTTCTCCATCTCCACCTTCTCTGGGATCGTCATCTTCCAGGTGTAGTTTATCAAGGCATCTTCAACTCCTACCTATGCCGAAACAAAAACATAGTTCAATTATCCAAAAAAAAAAAAATAGCATTCAAACAGAAGAGGAAAATCAGTAGCAAAATGACAGAAATTAAGGACAATAATAAGGATAATACTTGCATCCTCTATGTGAGAATGCACATATCCTCCTACTTGTGAATCGAAACTATTTAATTTTAATTGAAGATCACTCCTACAAAAAATAATTCGAATTGGAGATCATTTAATCATCCAAATGTATCAAATAAATAGACGGCTCATCATGAATATGTTACTTAGTAGCTACAAGGTTGATTTGTTCTATACATATGAATGACTAAATGATCTATGATTAAAATGATTTTTGTAGGAATAATATTCAAATGAAGATTAAGAAACTAACCAGTTCTCGAGTATGAAATTTGTACGGTCAAAATACACTATGCGCAAGAGAGAATGCAATTATTATTGCAAGAATAATTATGTCTTCTGATGTTTTTAGTTAATAAAAAGCTTGACGTATGATATATACTCTTTTTCATTCGACCCAAGTTGAAAGTTCCGGCAACAAGGTTCTAATGACATCACCTTTTGTACACCATACATATCCTTGTGTATCCGAATTTGTTTCGCTCTTTATAGTGAATATTGTATGGATAATATATACTTGCATTCTCTTTTTGGGGAGATGAGCTCATTCCTCACTTGCGATTAAAGTATCTTGATCATACAAATTTCACAATCGGAAACGTTCAATTTCTTAATCTTTATTTGAAGATCACCCGTATCATAAATCATTTCAATCGAATATCATTTAGTCATCCAAATGTATAGAACAAATCGATGGTGTAAGAGTACCAAGTGAAATATTCATGACCCAACCGTCAATTTATTTGATTCGTTTGGATGAATAAATGATCTCCAATTCGAATGGTTTTTTGTAGGGGTGATTTTCAAAAAAGACATAAATTGAATGATTCCAATTATTGATTTTGTTCGATCAAGATACGTTATTTGCAAATGAGATAATATGCGCATCTCCACATGGGGGAATGTAAGTATTGTGCATTTCTGTATTACCTGGACACTTGATAATTATTCCTTTTAGTTAGTTAATAAATGCAATTACCATAAACACTAAATTAACAAACAGAGCATTGTACATATATAAATTTTAGAAGACCTAAAAAACAACTACAAGTTGATTTAGAAAAACAACAGTTTTCCCTTCTCCAGTAATTCTCCTTCATGTTTTTGTATTATATGTTGAGTATACCGGGCTTAAGAGATTTTTTTTTTTAGGGGGGTTTGTCCCTTAATTCGAGTTTGGTTAATGTCATAAATTTTGATGCATAACATACCCTGGAATTTTCGAGATTTAAATTAACAAAAATATTATTCTTATCAATTATTTCTATCATCTCTTTAATAGAAGTGAGATCCACATGTATTGGTGAGTCTTACCTTTATTAAAGAGATAGTATAAATAAATGATAAATGTAGCATTACTCATAAGTTAATAAATTTAAAAGGGGAATGAGTTGTAGACTAAGTTCTAACTTTAAACAGTAATTAAGCTAAAACAACACTCAGCCTATGCAATATGCATGCATAAAGTAATAATTTTAAACAAGAAAAAAGAAAAAAAATAAAGAGAGAATGTTCTGTCTTTCCACTACTAGTATCTCATCATTGTGCCTAAAGGGAAAAAGGAAATTATATAATCGATCAAGTGAGAAATTAATATAGTTATAACCTGAGGAGGAAGAAACCCAGTTGATGAGTAGTTATCGTGATGATGACAAGTAGAAAGTTGCGGATGATGAAGAGCAGAAGATGCAGGAGGAGGGGACTCAAGGTAGCCAAGAAAGCTCTGCTGATTCAGCTGCTGATGATAGTGGTAGTTAGGGTAATTGTGGTTATTATGATGGTGATAGAGTAGTTGCTGCTGCTGCAGTTGCTTACAAAGCTTTCTCCTAAGTTTCTGTCTGTCCCTTGCCTTGTGGTTTTGGAACCAGTAAAATACATTTTTGCCCTCAATCTTGCCATAGAAAGAGAGCTGGGCAGTGATGTGTTGGATTTGAGAGGCATTTGGGGTTCTAATTCCAGCTCTGTACATCTCTTCAAGGAGCATCAGTTGCTCTGGGGTAGGGCACCATCTCGATGATGATGAGTTAGCTGCAGGGGACATGATTGGTTTTTCTTAAATTGTGGACTTGGTTTGCGGTGGGTGTAAATAGAGAAACTAAAGTAGGGTTTTTAATTAGTGTGTTGTGGAGAATGAAGGGTTGAAAGGAGGAGGAGGTATAAATAGATAGACAGAAGAGAAAGAAACAGTGGGTAGAGGGAGGAGAAGGAGGAGGAGGAAGAGGGACAAAAAGATGGAAGAGAGAGAGAGAGAGAGAGAGAGAGAGAGAGATGTGAGGTTAAAAGAGGAGGAGGGACAAAAAGATGGAAGAGAGAGAGAGAGAGGTGTGAGGTTAAAAGAGAATAGTGTGACGTAACAGTAATGCAGGTTGTCATGCTGATGCTTCCCCGAGAGGGGCATTCAAGTGTAAGTTTCAGTCCTTGCGAAAACACACACACACAAAAACTTGAGAGAGAGAGAGAGAGAGAGAGAGAGAGAGAGGGGTACATGAAAGATTATGTCATCATCACAGTATAATATTTACTCTCTGTACAGAATGAATAAGATGCACCATGTATAATATTTACTCTCTGTACAGAATGAATAAGATGCACCATGTAAGTTGAATTCTTGAAGCAGAGAAGCTTGCACGGACTAATTCGATCAGCCAACTTGCAACGGTGCCCGTGATGGACACATTAATTATTCAAATTGCTATAAAGTAGAGACAAAAATTAGTGTTGATTGGGAGCATAAAACACTCCGGACTAATTTGATGATATATACAAAAAAAAATTCCAACTTATAGATAAGTAATATGAATCTCTTTACACCTAAGGCCAAACTTCCACAAAATTAAATCATGAGTGATACGCTAAGTACTAGCAGTACTTAACTCAAAATTTTGGGTCGTTTTCAAGTGGTGTATAGGTTACTAGTAACTTTACATATATCATATTACTGTATTTTATTTACTATTACATCATCTCGGTGGGGTCAATTGACCCCATAAACTATGTTTTCCAAAATTTGGTTGTTTGTCTCTAGTATTCTTTGATAAAATGCAAGTGGCGATTCTAACTAAGAGGAATGTGCATGTACATCCAACTAAGAAATTTAAGTTAATCACTATTAAAAATATGTTAGCTGTATAAGGTTATACAATTAAAACACAAACGACGAATAAGTGATTGACCTGATTCCAACGGCGGCCATAGAAGTCGAACACAAAAGTAGCAAAGCACGGCAACATCGGGATCTTCTATAAACTCCTAGCCGAATACAACTACTCTATGCGAAGCATTATGTTGTGTTCTAGTGCTTATAGGGACCGGTGTTTTATATAGGCTAAAAGCTATGGTTTCCATCCATAAAGGAAACCTAAACTTACTTTCTTAGCCTCCAAGTCAAGTATCATAATCATATTCAATAAGGATTCCATCAATCCTATGTCCAATATAAGACACCTTATATAGGATTGATATCTTTAAGAGATTCAATATTACATTCCTATTACATGTAGTAGACCACTTAAAGGTTGATTTATATTGGATAAATCCAACATTCTCCCACTTGGTCTACAAAATGTAATATTCATGTTTATACTTGAGATTGGATATTAATGTCACTTTAGTGGCCATGTAACAGTGATTACATCTCATCCTTAATGCAGTTTCTGTCAAATGCATTTCTTAACATGGAACTAACAAGGTTGTAGGATTGACACAACCTCGAACCTTCATAATTACACATGCTAAGATCTTCATTCACATGAAATACAAATTATGATCAAGAGATGGAACTTTAAATTAACCAAAATGTCTTACTTTATATCATCTCAGGTCCACCTTATTGTAACTCACAAGTTACACCTTATGCTTCTTCGAAGCCCTAAATCTGCCAATGCAGATATCCTTCATCTAAGGAAACCACCATAACCTGTAGGTGTGAATACATCTCCAAAACAATCATGCATCACTTTCATTAGATTAGTAACAATACAAACAATGTTTGTAGCCAACGGACATAACTGAAAATACCAAATAGGCACATGTCCAAGTAAAATATCCCAAAAACTTCATAAAACAAATTAATTCAACACTTGTGAGCAAGATGAATTAATATGTTTTTGACACTGATCTATGCACCATACCAATTACTTTCATAGTGATTTCCAACACATGCGGGCAAGATGGAAATCCTCACAACTGAGGCAGTGCACAAACCATGTCATGCCATTTAATATGCAATTTGATAACAACTTGATATCCGATATATATTTCATCAGATAATTGACTAGCACACGAAAAATGTGACTTTATGAATCTAATTGGAGATTAAATTGAATACATGGATTCTATACATACCTTATAGGTCATCTACAAATGTAAGGCATTACTAACACAAAACTCAAACTCCCACTGATCTACAACATCATTACTTAATTTGCAAATCAATACTTAAATCATATTTTTGAAAATATGCCTTTGGGAATAGCTTTACTTGGTCAATGAATGCATATTACCTCAATGAAAGGTACAACTAAGCATGAAAGCATTCACCGCTGTTACACAAACATGCATCCAACAACCATCTTATATGTATTAATAAGTCCACATTTATGCTAAGTCCTTATGAACCCCAAAACAAATGATCAACTGAGAAATCCAAATGATTGCAAGTAACAGAAAAATGTACGCATATACCAAGTATCCAGTCGTGCAACTTAAACATATTATAGACATTCGAGTAACACAAATTCATGGGAGATAGAATAACACTTTAATTTATTCATGCAAGTCCACTTAATGCTCAAAATTTTATAACAACTCCCACTAAGTTTGCAGAGTTTATACTTGCAAATAAGTTAATAAGTGTGAAGCCCAATTTTCGTTCACTAATTCTCCCACTTGGGCAAACACTCTTTCAAAGATGTACCTAAATAAAATTGCTTTATATTTTAGACATAATAAAATAGACATTACAATCAACATAAAGTTGTCAAACAGAATTTTCAACAACTAGTTACACTTTAGAATTAATCATAATTAATTTATAAGCTTGATTGCTACCAAATTATCTAATCAAAATAGACATACTAATCTTCATAAAATAAAAATATAGAGCCGTTTTGGGTCAAATAGTAGTCTAAAGTCACGTCTCAAAAAGACCAACACAATCTGCCAGTAAAACTGCCTATACGAGCATTGGTTACTAGTAAATTCACCACAATTAAATTACATGGCACAAAATTACGAAATTTTCAGACACATAGTAGACATCTATATGTTGAACATCAAAAATTCAGGTCATTTGGTGACATTAAATGTGTCATTCATCCGATTTAAATCAAGACACACAATCTGCCAGAAACAATTATGTGCATCTATCATGAATATATGCATCCATAACAATTCGATTTCATATCATTTCAATTTCGATGTCCAAATGAAATTCTAGTAGTCAAATTTCATCCTCTAAAACGACATCATAGTTCAAATTGAAAAGATTTACAAGCATAAGACTTAAACAATGCATACCTTAGCAATCCTTAATTAACCTTCATGGGTCCAATACTTTGCATCAACAAGTCTCATGAAGAGAAACAAAATACATCATGATGCAACTGATTTCCATGCCTTAAAACCACAACCTATTATGGGCTCATAGTGGAAATATTTTATCTAATGGCATGGAACTTTATCCCCAATAGACTTCATGAAACTAAATTAATTTACAACTGTAGGCAAGAAAATTAACTAGTTTCTAGTACTAGGTTTTATGTCACAAAAGTACCTTCATAAAAAACTTCAACACCTGTAGGCAAGATGAAGATTTTCACAACTTTTGTGAAATAAAACCCATACTATGCCATCTTAATTAAACTAAAAGAAGTAATCCACACTTGTAGGCAAGAAGATTATCCCTTTTATTCTAATTAAGATGCAAAGTTGACCGAAGTAACTCAAAAACACAGTCCCATCATCAACTAAGCCGTTACGGCTTGCTTTAGTTGAAAAGACATTTATCAACTCCGCCCTGAAACAATACAAAAGTAACATGGCTTAATTAACTGTAAGTGACAAAGTTATAATAACCTGATTCGAGCTTCAAGTCTTGCAAACAAATGGCATTAATTCCTTCATAACTCCCTTTGACATTAAATTAATCTCAAGAAATCTGACAACATACTTGAAAGAGATTACATATGGAACAAGTTTTATTCCACCACAAGAATGTCAATACTTATCATTATGGAGTCAATTACTTAATAGAAATACTTTATGTAATGGGAAAGAACAATACATTCCTTTAATTTAAAAGCTTAATCGCTCAAATATATATCAAATGAGTTCCTTTCCTTTTATATTTATTTCCGTAGTACAAAACTACTAAACATAGCATTAAAATCATGCATTAGCTTTATAATATTCAATAAGGATTCCAGTGTAAATGTATACTTACATATGCTTACAAAATTGACAAAGACATCAGTAGTACATGGTTAACCTTTCCAACCAAAAACATCAGCTTTAAAAATGAAATAGAAAATCTGAAATATGCCATAGTTTCAGGTCCTAGTTAATCCAATGAACTAACTAATCAATATTCTGTAACATCCCCTTATCAGAACTATTGGTGGTAATCAAATTTGACTAATCAAATTGGCTAAAAATAAAAATTACATATGCTAGCTTGATCAAAATACTAGCAATCTCCAGACTTTGGTGGTTCGACCAAAACATATTTTATGCAATAAAGATGCCTGATCAAAAGGCTATCAACTAAACCATATTATCTATAATTATAATAGGTATAATCTGGAAAACTGTTGGAATTCGAAGCACTCATCACCATTATTTAAATTTCATGCTTCAATTCTATAAGAATATTATATATAAATTATATGCTTCAACTCCATAATTTAATTCATGCTTGATCAAAAGGGTCTCTAAGCGTAGTCCAATTTCCAATTGGCAAGCAAAAGCTATGTAATACACTGAATACATTATTGTGGATTCGTGCTATAATCAGGCAACTTGTCTTGCCATAATAATTAGGGTATCAATTAGCATAGTTCTTAATAAATTTCCCTTGACTGCAACCATAACATTAGTGAAAAATATTCTTGATTAAAACTGAATAATTATACAACCTGATCATAATCAACAATTGAACTGATTCAAACAGCATGGTGATGTTGCCGAGTATATGCAATGATAATTTGGATTAAACACGCAGTTCAAGAGAATAT